AAGCCCCTTCCAGAACCCATCTTTATCTCTTCCGCCCACGCAAGCCATGCTACCCATCTCAGTGGATTCTCTGTCGTAGCCACCTCCAGTGCAGTCTGATCATTCACCGCTTTCCTCTGCACCTTCAGGTAATTGCTCGAATTCCCCTTCTCCCAATTTAGTTGATTTTTCCCATTTTTCGACCTGCACTCAATCACTAGCCCAACCCGAGAATCACATAGACACACACATTCAATTACCCTCTCAAGAAATCACTATACCCACAAAAAATTACCCACCCAATCACACCACTCGAACCCATTCCACGACCACTCGGTCTATGAATAACATCCACAAACCTAAATAGCTCCACTCTGTTACCAAGCATCCAATTCAACCCACCATTGAACCAATTTGTGTGAGTCATGCAATTTGGGACCCAAAATGGATAAATGTCATATCTGAGGAACTCATTGCATTAATGCGGCATAATACATGGGAACTAGTTCCATTTCCTAAAAATTGCAATCCAGTAGGCTGCAAATGGGTTTTCTGGGTTAAACGAAAGTCTGATGGAACTGTAGATCACTTTAAAGTGAGACTGGTTGCAAAAGGATACAATCAACTCCCTGGGTTGGACTACAAAAAGACATTCAGTCTGGTAGTGAAATCGGCTCTATAAGAACCGTTCTAACCATTGCTGTGATTAAAGGGTGGATTTTAAGGCAACTTGATGTCAATAATGCATTCCTGCATGGTAAGTTGACAAAAAATGAGACGAGACAAAACCCAACCATGTTTATCGGCTACAAAAGGCCATCTATGGCCTAAAACAAGCACCACAAGCCTGGTATTTGGCTCTAAAGACCATCATCTTGGAGCTTGGGTTTGTCAACTCAAAAGCTGATTCCTCTTTATTTATCTATAAATCCAAGTCTGTTATATGCTTCTTGTTGGTGTATGTGGATGATTTGGTAATCACTGGAAACAATGATCAATTTCTTGGGACAATTATTGAAACACTTGGACATTCCTTCTCATTAAAAGACATGGGACAGCTTCACTATTTTTTGGGTATGGAAGTCATCCCTACAAAAGATGGTCTTTTTCCATCTCAGCATAAATACATCATAAAGACTTTATCCAAGAGCAAAATGTTTGGTGCCCAAGATGTCTCCACGCCATTGTCCACTACTACATTCCTCAAACTCTTTGATGGAACATCATCTATGGACAGTACTCAATTCAGAAGCGTTATAGGTGCTCTTCAGTAGCTCTCTCTAACACGGCCGAACATCTCCTTTTCAGTAAATAAACTATCTCAATTCATGCATAAACCCACTGCAACACATTGGGCAGCTGCGAAAAGGCTCCTTCGTTATTTAAAACACACTATCTTTCATGGTATTCACATACGACAAAACAGCCCCTTAACACTTACAACTTACACTGAAGCAATGTGTTGCAGGCAATTTTGATGATAGATACTCAATTTTAGCCTACATATGTTTTCTTGGTGTAAATCCTATCTCATGGAGCTCAAAAAAACAGAGGGCTATTGTTAGATCTTCCACTGAGGATGAATATAGAGCACTTGCAAATGCGGCATTTGAAATACTTTGGCTTCTGGCATCATTTCAAGAGCTCGGCTTACCTATTTCATCAAAACTAAGACTGGTTTGTGACAATCTGAGGGCCACACAACTGAGTTTTAATCATGTCCAGCACTCTTGCATGAAGCACATTCAAATAGACTTACATTTTGTGCGTGATACGGTTCAAAAAGGCACACTTGAAGTTCATCATGTTAATACACATGACCAATTGGCAAATCTTTTAACAAAATCATTGTCAAGGCAACGCACAGAACTACTCAGGAACAAGATTGGTCTTGCTGATGGAAGCCCTATCTTGCGGCGCGTATAAAGGAATATCCCTTAAATCAAGACAATGATCCTAAAATAGAGCAGCAAACCAAGAATCAAGCCTAGAATCAAAACCAAGAATCAAGCAGGCAATAATCATGCAGTCAGTTACACAATTTTCTGTAAATTAATAGGCATAATCTCAGGAAGTTTACTAGAATAGCTGGTATGAAATCATGTATTTAAATGTATATGTTTTCATGTATTCTGTGTGATTGAAATGCATAGTAACATTCAGAAAAGAAAAATCTCTGCACGTTCAAACTTTATCAAATCAGTTCGATTCTTATTTTTCAAACTTGACAAATAAATTGAAGCAATTCATCGGTAAATTGTGATAGAATAGAGTAAAAATTTATTTACTTTGAGATAAAGAAAATTACCTTGCCGCCGCGGAAGAAAACAAAAGCCGTTGTCAACGAAAAATCTATGAACAATTAGATGTTGAGAAAAAAGAAAGAAAAAACTAGATTTATGTTGATGGTGGAACATTAATTTTATTTAAAAGTTATTCAAGTAGAAACGGAACAATACTAAAAATTCTGGCGCATCCACGTTTGATTTGGATTAAAATTTCAAATTAAAGTTAACAATTAATTTTAACCACATATTTCATGGGACCCACAATTTTTCAACCACAAATTTCATTAATTTTTATCAAAATTTATTAAAAATCTAATTTTAATCCCTATCAAATGGGGGTATAATTATCCAAAATAAAATATGTCACATGATTATTATGCCCTCTTCCAGATGTTACACAAATTCCAACCTTTTAACTTTTAAGCTAGAAGAACATAGGTAGAACAAAAAAAAAAAAAAAATCAAAATTTAACCCCGTTTTGTCTACAATGTTTCAAAAATTTGTTTTTTCTTAAACTCATATTCAACTAATATTATTATAATAAAATATTTTGCACGTAAATTCAAAATATTTCTAATTTTTAACAATACATTTTCCAAAAAAAAATTACTATTTCAAACCTTATTTTTCCAAAAATATAAATAAATTAATGGGCATAAAACGAAGGCTTACTGAAGTTGGTAGAACAGAAATAAATAAAGAGATCGAGAAGAATCTTAAACGGTGTCGCGGAGCAAAAAGTGTGCTTTAATTTTGACTGGTGTGTGAGGAAGAAGCATAAAAGTAGGGGAATATACCGATGAAGATCCTGCTTGGTGGTTCTCTTTAAATACCCACCTATCAATTTCACCTCGACACATACATGATACATACACATATAAATACCAGATTTCGACATAGATAATCATAAGTTTGCACAAGAGTTTTTCTCTCTCTCTCTCTCTACTCTTTTGCTTCTGATATTGATCCAGAAACAAACAGGTTGGTGATTTATAGGGCTTTTGCATTTTTATGTGAATGCGTGATGATTTATACACAGATGTACGTTTTTTTAATTCTTTGTCGTGTTATTGCATGCAAAGGTGGTGGGTATTTTTAATGGATTTTTACTGATTTTATACGTTTATGTAGATTTTTGACATGTTTTTTCCTCGATTTAAAATAATAATTTCATTTTTCTATAATGGAAATGAAATGTGATCTTCATTCTGCATGTGTTTTTTTTCTCCCTTTGGCGGAGTGAATTTGAATTTTGGATCAGAAATTGTCAATTATATAAGCAGAAAGTGGATTTTTGCTAATAAGTTATGGTGCAGTGTGATTTTATTTGTTGCATGTCCCACCTGACGGGATGGGGACTGGGGGTAGGTGGGGTAGGGTTCGTAGGCAGAGATTCTTCCGGAATATACCTTTGGCTTTATATCTTCCAGTTGTATTACTCTATGGACTTCTGTTTTTTCTATAATAATATGGGTAATGCTACATGTACACACACTTTTACACAATCTTTTACACCTATTTCACATGGAGGGGGGTCCACGATTATTTTATTATGTGTGGGCCCCCTTCTACGTGAGAGGGGTGTAAAAAATTGTGTACACATAGCATTATTCTAATAATATACCTTTCATAGTTCTAATTGCCAGATTTCTTATCCTACATATTACGTTTCTTTAATTGCCAGATTTATTATATTTCTTATAATGACGATTCATTAATGGTTTGATTATTTGGCATTAGCCTCTAATTAAGATTTTAGACAATGATACGAACAAAAATCGGTATTTATGAATCTATGAAACAGTCGCTCGATTTCGAATCTTTTGATAATCTGTCGATTAAGGTTGTTAATTTTGTTACCGATTTTGTAGGTAATTGTGAGAGGAAGAGCAGAAGGAGAGACAAGAAGCAATGGCAGCAGACAACTTGAAGGTGCTTAATGCACTTGATGTGGCAAAGACGCAATGGTACCATTTTACTGCGATTATCATTGCTGGAATGGGTTTTTTCACGGATGCATATGATCTTTTCTGCATATCTTTAGTTACTAAGATGCTCGGTCGGATATATTACCATGTTGATGGCTCGAAAAAACCGGGCAGTTTGCCTCCCAATGTATCGGCTGCTGTCAATGGTGTGGCGCTGTGCGGTACCCTTGCTGGCCAGCTTTTTTTCGGGTGGTTGGGTGACAAAATGGGTAGGAAACGAGTTTATGGCGTGACGCTCATGTTAATGTCCGTATGCTCGCTTGCCTCGGGACTTTCTTTCGGGAGTGAACCGAAATCAGTTATGGCGACTCTATGCTTCTTTAGGTTCTGGCTTGGCTTTGGGATTGGTGGTGATTACCCACTCTCCGCGACTATCATGTCTGAATATGCGAATAAGAAAACGCGTGGGGCGTTCATTGCTGCTGTTTTTGCTATGCAAGGTTTTGGGATTCTGTCTGGTGGTGTATTTGCTATGATAATTTCGACTGCATTTAATGCTAAGTTCAAGGCTCCAGCTTATGAAGTCGATCCAATTGCCTCGACCGCTCCACAGGCAGACTACATTTGGAGGATAATTTTAATAGTTGGTGCACTTCCAGCTCTATTAACGTACTATTGGCGGCTTAAGATGCCGGAAACTGCTCGTTACACGGCCCTTGTTGCCAAGAACATGAAACAAGCTGCAGCAGATATGTCTAAGGTTTTGCAAGTTGACATTGAGGCCGAGCAGCAGAAAGTGGAGCCGGCAGTAGAGGAGAAAAATTCATTTGGTCTATTCTCAAAGAAATTTCTTTGTCGTCATGGGCTGCACTTGCTAGGAACAACAACGACTTGGTTCTTGCTCGACATTGCATTTTACAGCCAAAATTTGTTTCAGAAGGATATTTTCAGTGCTATTGGTTGGATTCCTCCAGCGAAAACAATGAACGCAGTAGAAGAAGTTTTTAGAATTGCACGCGCACAAACTCTTATCGCACTGTGCAGTACTGTCCCGGGATACTGGTTCACCGTGGCATTGATCGATGTTATTGGAAGATTTGCCATTCAACTGATGGGATTCTTCTTCATGACAGTATTCATGTTTGCTCTTGCCTTTCCTTACAACCACTGGACACACAAAGATAACCGAATTGGCTTTGTCGTTATGTACTCGCTTACCTTTTTCTTCGCGAACTTTGGGCCAAATGCAACAACATTTGTCGTGCCAGCTGAGATTTTCCCGGCTAGACTGCGGTCTACGTGCCATGGGATATCAGCTGCATCCGGGAAGTTGGGAGCAATTATTGGTGCTTTCGGGTTCTTGTATCTAGCTCAAAACCAAGACAAGGCAAAGGCTGATGCCGGATATCCAGCAGGAATTGGAGTAAAGAATTCGCTCATCGTGTTAGGCGTAATCAACTTTTTGGGCTTATTATTCACTTTCTTGGTTCCGGAATCGAAGGGAAAGTCTCTCGAGGAAATGTCTGGTGAAAATGAAGACAAAGAATGAATCAAATAGCGCATAAAACAGTTCAAGTAGTATGAAAGAGTACGTATAAGGGATGTTTGGTAAGGTGGACTGGACAACATTATGCACAATAAAAAAGCATTTCTATCAAAAGTACTATATAGTGAATATGTTTCTGGTTTTGCGTTTAACTTCTTTAACTGTTTGTTGCTTTCTTTTCTTTCTGGAATTTTCTGGTTTTCGCTTTGTTTGCAAGCTTAGTTTCTTAAGGTTCAGCTTTTCAATCTGTACTTGCAACATCAGGTGAGTTCTAGTGTAATTTCCCTGCTGTTACCATCCAGTAGTAGAGTGTTTATGAATAAACCAGATTGAGCTAATGAGGAAATATTGAATGTTGGAATATCGAACGAATAAATGGACACATACAAAATTCAACTATACGTTTCCTTAGTAAACGTGAGAAAAGGCATGAGGAACATATTTAGCTCCTCTCAAGTTGGAGTGTGAAGATTACGAATACCCAACTTGCATAGGATGTGTAATGTGAATTTCACCAAAAATGGTAGCAATTGCCCGATATTTAGTCTTTGTAGAGTCTCGA